AAAAAAGGTATTTATTTTTTTCATTTTTTGCCGTTTTCTCTACACACGCATTGTTATATTAATTCTTTTTAATTCCGTAGATGGCAATTTTTATGTTCCGCTTACTTTGCAAATACTAATTAAATGTGAAACAATTAACATATCTTTTTTAGCTCGAATCAAAATACCACTCATGCGGTATAAATTTTAATTATATATATAGAATCAAATTGAAAAGAGGAAACCATGATTAATTGTTTGCTTAAAGTTGAGGACTATTTAAATTTATCATTAGTTTAAATGTACGAGAATCCGAATTTCTAGCCACTTAGTGAAGTTTTCATGAAGCACGGACCAGCGTTCGAAAACACAGTAATGACCTCAAAACACTTAGCAATGCCGAACAAAGTTGTTTTTATCTCTTCAGCTGTTTTGATGCCGAAGAACTGAAGTTTATTGTGCCGACTTTCGTAACGAACGTTACAGAATATTTGTGCTCGGGATGATTTTTTTCTTTATGGTTTTTTTTTTACTTTTGAAGGCAGTCGGAACCTTCAGGGCTTCGCCCTGATACGAGCAGTCTTGTTTTGTTTTAAATCAATTCTTGGAAATTTTATTTGAATGAGCAAAACAATGGATTCAATGTCAAATTATCAATTAAATGAACCGAATGAAAAAATTCATATCGAAATAAAGAACATTGAAGTTTTTTTTACAATGTAAAACCGATTGTTTTTGGCTTATCCAGGAGTTTGCGTATTTTGTAATTATTTTTTCAAAAGATTTTATCTTGCTTTGTTCAGAAAAAATCGAGAACGGCGGATTTGGCGGGTGGGTGACGGGGGATTTCGGACGCCCTCTTCCCTCAGGGATTCGACCCCTTGGTGACCCAAAGATTCTCGCATTTGTACTACTTTGAGATATTCATTATTGATGAGAGACCCTGAAAACTTTCTAAAACCGCCTTTGGCGCCAATATATATTATTTTAAAGGGGGAGCGCTCGCCGAAAAAACGCAATTTTTTGCTCAAAGTTTTCCGAAAACGTCCTAAAATTGCTCTTTTTAAAATTGGTCTTTTCATTGCTTTGTGAGAACTTGAAAAATCAATTTGTTCGACCTAAAAAAAGTTGAATTTTCCGTCTCAATGTAGAGTATCTTATTAAATTAAGACTTTTCCGCTCATTTATTGCCTCTTGGATTTTTATAGGATATCCTATGTAGACACTTCTGTCCGGACTTGATGTTGAGGCTTTCTCGATTCTATTTTTGACAATGAGCTAGATTTCGACCATGATTTTCTTCGTCCATTGCTATAATTAGGCCCTAGCTACTTCAACGCATCAAGCAACCAAATTTTCTCCCAAACTATACGTTAGAAACTCCAAACTCTTCTTACAATCCGTTGCTGTGCAAGTGAACACAAGTTTTTGAACACACAAAATACAAAAATTATTCGTTTCTGGGCTTCAATATTACATATTTTTTGACCAATTCCCTTGATTGTTTGTGATATTAAATTTTATTCTGGCCTTTTTTATCACTCGAATAAAAACAGGAAACAGAATCGGCTGAATTCAAGAGAATCGGTAAACGGCAAGTTTTAGTAAATTATATTGCACGGAATTAGCAACAGCAATAAAAGTATCAAGCCAAAAAAATGGGCTTGTCCATGCGCTGATTTGATGATTTTATGTTTTTTTTTCACTATGAGTTCATATTCAGTTCACGCAGTTGAATTAACAGAAACTCAATTGCAAACCATTTTCGAACCGATTAAAATATAGCGTTTTATGTTCTATCAGGTTTGGCTCAAATAGGATTCTCAAATGAAACGACTTAGATGAGAAACGAACCCACGCCAAACTCACTGGAAAGCACTATGTATACGCTGGGCTATTTAGCTGGTTTTTACAAGAGACTATACTGATTTTGTACTATATTTTCAACTTAATGCTGTGGAGACAAATCCACCCAATTTCAATTTTTGGAATAAAACATTGTCTTTCTACTTCGATGGCCCCAATTACTGAAATTTCAGGCAATGAAAGATAAAAAAAGAAGTCACATTTATTTGGCATTTTTTTCTTTAAAACATTAGATGAGGTGGCGGTAGGGTAGGTGGTGGGGTATTGGAGGTGGTGGGTGTAAAATTTGGAGGGAAAATTAGGGGTTGGGTGGTAAACTTAGTGTGGGGGAGCGGTTTTGGGGTAGGAGGAGGGGGCAAACTTTTTTGAATTTTTTAGGTTAGGAATGAACATGTTTATTCGGGTTCTAAATCTTCAGAAAGTTTCCAAATCCAAATGTTTCAAGAATTTAACTAGCTGCAAACAATTTTCTGCTGGAAAACAAATCGATTTGCATTGGTTGATTTACAAAATCGGTTAAATATGAAGACCAAAAATGTTTGCCATGGCCTTTTTAGTCCGTGTGTCAATTATCATAACAATGGATTAATGTGAACAAATTTTTCGTTTGTAAATTTTTGCAGGTGGGGAAAGCAGGAAAAAGAGCCATTATATCGTCAAAATAATTGATTATAATGGATTTTTAAATATTGAAAATAATCAATTATAATCCCCTAAAATCCATTTTCAGGGTTGGATGGGTCATGAAAATCGATTATATGGGTCAAGTTTTTTGCCGATATAATCCATTATAATCGATTGTTTCTCATGAAATTCCAGTGCGGGCCATTATAGCTAGCAAACTATAGCGCCTCATAAAAAAAACATTGTGCAAATGCGGCAAATTGGGTGGGTGGTCTTCTGCGCCCAAATGGAGGGGGCTATGATGGAAAAAGCCAGCATTAATTGATACTTGGATAAAGGACTGCCAACAACAGAAACAGATAGCAATGATCAGAACAAAAGCACAGCAAACATTTTTTTTCTCTCCTCCACCCACCCGTTTGCATTTGCAGCCTTTAAATGGTGTCATGAGTGGTTTCACAAGGTTCAGTGTGGAGACCAAATATGTTTTCCATGGCATAATGAGTCTGCAAAGAAGTTTTCATAAAAATTGGGAAATGAGAAATGTCATTTTACGGCTCGCTCCACTCCCCATTATAAACTGCATTAAAACGTGTCAGCGTGAACAAGTGAACAAACTTTTACAACATTTCTTACATGTAGAATGCCGTGTGAATAATTTTTATACAGCTTAGTTTTGTAATTTTCCGATGGGGGGGGGGACTGGAAAAGAGCCACTAAATTGATCTAATTAGTCAAAAAGCTCATTCAAAAATAATTATGAATAATTAATAGTTTGGTTAATTAAGAGTATAAACATAGGTACTCTTTTTGAAAAATTTTCTGAATCAGTCTATTCTGCGCTTGGCTCTTTTTCCCCCCCCCCCCCACCTCACATGACAACCAATTTTATGGTGTAACGAGTGGTTTTACAAGGTTAATTATGAAGTCTGATTATGCTTGGCCTAGGCTTATTTGTCCACATGCCAATTTTCATAAAGATCGCACAATGAAAACAGTAACTTTACTAGAAAAAGGTGGCAGAAAGTTGCAGGTGGGGAGAAGGAAAGGAAAAAGAGCCCTGGGCTTTTGTTGAAATCAAAATTTTATACGAAATCCTATTCAAAATTAATATGTGACTAGGGGGACTTTCGGCTCTTTTCCAGTTCCCCCTTTCAAATTCAGATTTGAAAAGTTTATTTAACCTTGTCAAAATGCAATGAAATTTGGCGTGGTGAACAAATCGACAAATGTGAACAGATTTGTTTTTCATACTTCACAGCGTAACATCACGCATTTAGCCGTAATAACACGTAAAACAAACATAAAACTCGGTATTTTGAAAGGTGGGGGGAAACTGGAAAAGAGCCGGACTTTCGTAGGTTGTGGCAGAAAGGGCCGAACAAACCTGCTTACAGTAGTTAGTTTGTTCACCATGAAGAAATTTTTACATTATGACAACATTCAAATGGTTTTTCGAAACTGAAGTTCAAATGTGGGAGGGATTGGAAAAGAGCAGAGCTGTATTCATTCTTTAAAAGAAAACTGAAAAAAATGCCATGATCATTCGTTCTAATTACATTTTTCAAAGTATTCAAATTCAACCCGCGCTAAATTAAGCGGTAAAAATTTAAGAAATCGAAGTAAGCTTTCAAATTAAGATCAGAATGTGTAAAAATTCAGTGTAAACCAATTGCAGTCGAAAGGCGTTAAGTAAAATGATGCAAGTTGCTTTGATAGGAATCTCTTTGATCTGTAGCGCTTTTGCTTCTGTAGCGCTTTTGCCGGACCAGATGGAAGACCAGGACATGGATCGGGGGTCGGCCTCATGTATGGCCTGCACTATGGGCATTGGGACACTCAGCACCGTCGTCGGCTCCGCTGGGAAAATGCTGATGCCACTATTGTCGGACTACTGCGACAAAGTTTCAAACGAAGACGCTAAAAAGATGTGCAAAGAGTTTGCTGATAAAAATGGCGAAGCTTTTGTCGAAGTGATATTGGCTGTTCTCGACTCGAACACCTTCTGCGGAGCTGTGGGAGCTTGTTAATAAACTGGCTCACAACAGCAAATAAAACAATTTTATGCTCTTTTTCCTTCCCCTCACCTCGCATCAATTTTTGTGGTCTAACGAAAGATTTTACAAGCTTAATTATGAAGACCAAATACGTTTATCATGGCCTCATTTATTTGCATGTCAATTTTCATGACAATCGGACAATGCGAACAGTAATTTTAATTTTAAAAAAATGCAGGTGGGGGGAAAAGAAAAAAGAGCCCAATTTTGAACGTTTGAACTTCAGCATCCAAGCAATTTTATTTTTGAAAAAAAAAATCAGAATATTTAGATAGTTTATTCACGAAAAGCTGACATCTATCATTTTGATTCTTTATCATCTTCTATCATTTTGGCTCGTATCATTTTGGTTCGGCTTCTATTATTTTGGTTCGTATAAAAAAATTGGTTAATTTTATTGACCTGTTCACGCTGACACGCGTTACTGCACTTATAGCATGAAAAGTCATTTTAAATAAACTTTCAAAATAATTTTCAAAGTGGGGGAACTGGAAAAGAGTCCAAGTATCAAAAAATTTATAGTAACTTTTCGCTGCACTGTTATCTAGCAAACTGTAATAGAGTGATAGAGTTTGGATTAGAGGAGATACTCGTCTAGATGTATGGTCCAGCCACTATCAATGAGTTCCATTCCAAAAGAGTGTACAGAACTAAAGTGTACGGCTCTTTTCCAGTTTCCCTCCTTTCAAAATACCGAGCTTTATGTTTGTTTTACGTGTAATTACGGCTAAATGCGTGATTTTACGCTGTAAAGTATGAAGAACAAATCTGTTCAAAATTGTCGATTTCTTCACCTCGCCAAATTGCATTGCATTGTGACAGCGTTAAATAGACTTTTCAAAATTGAATTTGAAAGAAGTGGAAACTGGAAAAGAGCCAAAGTGTAGTCTTGCCAGGCCACTTGGAGGAAAATCCAGATGAAAACGTAAATTTTCCAAATGTAATGATCTGGGGTTCAAAAAATGTGAAAGCTCTTTTTCCTTCTCCCCACCTGCAATTTTTTTACAAATAAAGTTACTGTTCACATTGTCCAATCGTTATGAAAAATGACATGCGGACTAATTAGGATGTGCCAAACACATTTGATTTTTATATTTTGTTCTGGCCTTTTTTATAACTTATAAAAACAGGAAACAGAATCGGTTTAATTCAAGAGAATCAATAAACGGCGAATTTTAGTAATTTTTTATTGCACGGAATTAGCAACAACATTACACGTATCAAGTTAAAAAGTGGGCTTGTTCATGCCCTGATTTGTGTGATTTATGTGTTTTTTCACAATGCGTTCATACTTAGTTCACGCAGTTTAATTAACAGAAACTCAATTGCAAACCAATTTTGAACCGATTAAAATATTAGCATTTTATGTTCTGTCAGGTTTGGCTCAAATAGGATTCTCAAATGAAACGACTTAGGTGAGAATCGAACCCACGCCGAACTCCCCGGAACGCACTATGTATACGCTGAGCTATATAGCTGATTTTGATAAGCAACTATACTGGCTTTTTACTATACTTTCATGCTTTAATGCTATGTAGCATTAACATCCTCCACGCCCGAAGGAGCGAGAACCGGAACGAGCTTAACGAGCGGCCGAGTGTAGTTTCCGGAAACGGTCCTTAGGTTTGCGGAACGGGCGGTGTTGTCTTTGCCGTAGTTTAACGACGTTATGCGTGCTAGTGGGTAGTGGCCCCTAGGGCTAGTGGATTCAACTAACCACACCATATCTCCCGTTTTAAAGAGTATTCGGGAGGAGCATGCCACTTAACTCTTTTATTGAGTGTAGGGACGTACTCACTTAACCATCGCTGCCAAATTGCGTTTGCGTACGACTGCGCACGGGCATAGCGTTTAGAGTGAGAATAGTTTTCACTCGACCTTAGAGACGGAAACGTAAGACTGTGCTGACCTAAGAGGAAATGATTCGGCGTCAAAGCCTCAAGACTATCGGGGTCGTCGGAAACGGGAGTGAGTGGACGGGCGTTTAGTGAACCTTCAACTAGGCACATGGTTGTGTTCAAAATATCGTCAGTCAACTTTCTTGACCCTAAGATTGCATAAAACACACGCTTACAACTGCGCACTAATCGCTCCCATGCTCCACCTTGATGTGGTGCACTTGGCGGATTATACTTCAACTTAATGCCTTTGTGTACGAGCGACAGTGGAGCTTCTGCGTTCCAATTTTTGATGCACAGAAGAAGCTCTTTTTCGGCTCCTACAAAGTTTGTTCCGTTGTCCGACCAAATTATTGAGGGTGTTCCTCGCCTAGAAATAAAGCGCTCGATAGCCATCACACATGAACTTGTGTCCATGGATGGAACCAACTCAATGTGAATTGCGCGAGTCGTTAAGCAAGTAAATAGAAAACCCCAGCGTTTCTCGGAAGATCGACGAATGGTTACATGAAATGGTCCAAAATAATCGACGCCGCAGTTCGAGAACGGTGGCTGGCGGTAACCTAGACGCTCCGCGGGAAGGTCAGACATCATTGGAGTAACGGTTTTCGCTTTTCGCTTTCTACAGCACACGCAATGTGTTTCAATAGCTCTTAATGCAGATCTTAAGCGTAGTACAACAAATTGATGATGAATGACGGAACGAAGGTAGTCGACTGACTGATGTTCGTGCTTAATGTGATAAAAACGGAGAAACAATCGGATTAGACGATGGCGGCTATCCAAAATTATTGGATGGCGAGTTTTGAATGCGGTTGCAGAGAGACGTTGGATACGGCCGGTAGATCTAATTAAACCGTTCGGCCCGATAAAAGGCGAATACGATGATATACGGCTCGACGTTTTCACATATTTTCCAGCTGCTAATTGTTTACTTTCAGCTGGGAATGACTCTAACTGCGAAAGTTGCAAAAGTTTTTCCTCTGAAATAACAAGTTCTGCTGGATCAATTATGTCATTATCTGGTGATCTGAAATGTCTATGCTTAGGTGAGAGTCTCAACATATATGCGACCAGTCGCTTTATCTTGGAGAACGAGCTATACTCTTCCCAAGGGAAGGCAAAGTCAGTCGAAACTGCAGTGCACGGAAAATTGGAAGAGACCTCTAAACCCTCGTTTAGATCGTAGACCGGACCATCCAGGCGAATTTTGTCAGTAACTTCCCTATTTGGATTGAAAGGCCAATCAGAAGTTTTCAAAAAGGAAGGGCCGTTTACACAACTGCTTTGCTTGAGGGAGTCAGCAGTAATACCTCTAGTTCCGGTGTCAGCGGAGTTGTCTCCACTCAAAACATGGAACCATTGGTCAATTGATGTTGACTCCAGAATCTCGGCTACTCGATTGGCTACAAACACGGGCTGTTTGCTTGTCGAATTCAACCACTGAAGGACTGTTGTGCTGTCAGTCCACATAAACACTTTGGAAATACTCAGTGTCAGAGCTTTCTCGATATCATCCTTCAGGCGACTGGCAAGAAGCGCAGCCTGAAGTTCCAACTTCGGAATTGAAAGCATCTTCATCGGGGCTACTCTTGCTTTACCAAAAACAAACGCTAGTTGACATTTGGAACAGGCATTTTTCTGAGCTCGAAGGAATGCTACAGAACAGAAAACGTCCAAAGAGCTATCACCGAACATGTGCAGCTCAACCTCATCTACTGAGAAGTCAAAATAGCAACGAGGTATTTTGAGCTGCCCTAAAACTGGCAGGCCAGAGTGCCATTCAGTGAATCTGCGGCACAACTCAATTGGCAGTGGGTCGTCCCACTGTTGGCCACTCAATCTCCAGATATCTTTCAGTAACAAACGTGCGCGTACGGTATACGGGGCCACAAGACCTATGGGGTCGAACACGGAGGACACAAAACTAAGGACCGATCGCTGCGTAACAGAGTCTTTGAGTTCGCGGTTGACTCCTCTGCTCACAACCAACGTATCGGTGACGTGGTCCCATTTGAGACCGAGAACATGCGATGCGGTTTCCGGATTAATCGCAGCGGTAAAAATTTCCTTACTGTTGTTAGCGCTGGTCTTAGGGGGATTTAGTTTCGAAGACAATTTGGGAACGTTGCTAATAACTTTTCTAAGATTAAACCCACCCAACTTAAGCAGTTCAACTAAACTGCGACTTAACCTTAAAGCAGTTTCTGGGTTTTTCACAGACCCAAGGTAGTCATCCATGTAAAAGTTGTTAAGCACGGCGTAAGCGGCATCGGGGTAACGATCTTGGTTATCGACGGCTGTTCGGCGAAGAGCATAGTTAGCACATGTCGGAGAATCTTTCGCTCCAAATATATGCCTTGTATATTGAAATACACTCACATCTGATGTGGGGACCTCCCGCCACAAAAAACGCAAGGAACGTTGATCGCTTTCTAGTAAGCCGACCTGCATAAACATGCCTTCGATATCTGCGGAAATTGCGTATTTGTGCTCTCGGAAGCGCATTAAAACGAATAAAAGGTTCTGAAGCAGATCGGGGCCGACGAGAAGGGAGTTATTCAGTGAACTGCCGTGAAACCTAGAAGCACCGTTTAAAACGCGCCGAACTTTGCCGGGTTTGTTCGGATTTAAAACTGGGTGGTGCGGTACGTACCATTCTCGGTTTGAACGGTTTTTTGAGTCGTGAGGGCTAACCGGGACCACGTAACCCTTCTCGACATCACTTCGGATATCTGATGCGTATTGAGTTTTCAGGTTTAAATCTTTCTCTAGACGCTTTTCAAGAGACTTAAACTGGACTAACGAAGCGTAAAAGTTATCGGGAAGATGAATGTTGTCATCAGCCCAGAGCATTCCGACAATATAACGACTGCCATCATGAATCGTGGTAGAGTCAAGAATTTTTTGTGCACGTTTATCAGCTGAGGAACGGGGATCAGCTTGTTTGAACGTGCCATACGACTCTAGCTCGTACCATTTCTTCACTTGGTCAGCAAGTGCTACGTCTTCAACATTGCACTTGAAAGTGGTGGCTCGAACACCAATTGGTGATGGAAGTGGGCCACTGAGAACCCAGCCAATGGGCATACGGACAGCGACAGGAGTGTTTTGATTTCGTCCTTGGAAGTATTCGAGAGGCTTGATTGCATGAAAGACATCCTGCCCTAATATCATCTCAACGTCGGAATAGTTGTAGACAATAGGTTTAATTGGCTGCAGATGTGGAAACCTGTCTTGGAGAATGGTAACGTCAATGGTTTCGGAACCAACGCTCAAACTGTCTTTCACAAACGGCGTAACCCTAAACGAGTATTCATGGTGGTCGAATTTGGCAAAAACATTCACCTCGACTTGTTGCGTGGGAACGGATTCCGTCGAATTGAAGCCGTTTACCAGAATATCCAGCTGTTGGCCAGTTAAATTTAAACGCTGTGCTAGGCCCGCCGAGACCCATGAGTGGGTACAACAGGAATCGCACATTACAAGAGCATTGGTCAGATCTGTGTGTGAACTTATTTCCAATTGAAGCACAGGAAGGAGTCCCGTAAGTTTCTTGTAAGACGACGAACCGGCTACGTTTGATGACGAAGTTTGCGGCTTATTCCGGTTCGGCGGGGCGGTACTGTTTGAATTCGAATGGCTTGCATTATTGCTATTGTTTAACTCTTTGTTTGCAGATCTTACGCTGAAAACTTTCTCAGCACCATGTAACAAGACATTATGGGTGCTTTCACAACCAGGCTTAGTGCATTTGCGGGCTTTAGGGCATTTTCGGAACATGTGGTCAGGTTGAAAGCAAGCAAAACACAACCCATTTTGTGCGGAGAATTGAGCTCGTTGAGTTGGGGTCTTTTCCTTAAACACAGAACAACTCCAGAGTGGGTGTTTACCATTGCACTGGAGGCACGGAGCATAAATTGGTTTTTCAACTTTTGAAGCAGCGGCAAAAACTTTTGTAGGTGTTTTATGGAAATCAGTCTTTGGAGTCTCCTCAGGTCGTGACTTATTCTGACTCACACGCATAAGTTCATGTGCCTCAGCCTTGTCGCGGAGCCACTCATCAAAGTCTAAAACGGTTGGCTGTCTCCAACATTTCTTTACAGAGTGGAGAGACCATGACTCTTTCATATTTGGAGGCAATTTTGAAATAACTTGATTCAAAACGGATGTACTCTTCAAGTCATACTCATATCCTAACGATTTTAAAACTGCGATAAGACTGGATATACAGGAAGCGAAACTGATAATGCTTTCTGAATTGTGCATTTTAAGAGGTGGAAAATTCGAAAGTTTTTCAAGATGAGCTGCCACAATCGTCTGTGGTTGTCCAAATTTCCTCTCTAGAGTTTTCAAAGCGTCCTTGTAGAATACTCCACTGTAAGCGAATTCGGCAATTGCATTCTTCGCTTTGCCTGAAACGAGAGTTTTGAGATATGTCAATTTGACATCATCACTTAAAACTTTTGCATCGATTGCACGTTTGAACTGACCAAACCATTCAGGCCACTGCAACGGATTCCCGTCGAAAGAAGACAATTTCCATTCAGGCAAGGGACCTTTCTGGCTCAGTGTCAAAATTTCAGCTAGATCTTGATTTGTGATTGGTTTACTGCTCGAGGACGTAAATGGGCCATATTGTTTGTTCTCATTTGTATAAGGCGCCATCAACGGTTTTGAATAGATTGCGGCGTCTAAAGTTTTAGGATCACCGACATAAAAAGTTGTTCCTCTGCTAGAGAACGGTTGAACATTCGATGGCTGTGTGACATAATATGAGTTAGGGGAGAAGGTGACTGCTGGAGGATTGAGAGGACCAACGTTAGTTGTTAAAAGCGGTTGGTACACAAAATTTGCGGAATTACTTGGGAAAAAGGTTTGTTGAGCAATGGGCATTGAGCTCGTCGGGATATTAGAATGATGAAAACTACTCTGCATCAAAGGGTTGTAGTTGTATAGGTTGGTCAAAGGTAGCTGTTCCTGTGGCTCATACGTACTGTTTAACTTTGGATTTGGCAAGCTGACACTTGTATTTGATGTATGAGGGACGGTAACATTTTGTGAGTTTATACACGTGGTTTCGAAATAATCAGCAAATGGATGTGAGTTATTAATCATCGTCAAATTTCTACTGAAAGGCGGTTCAATACTTGAAAATCAGAAGAACTCGGAAGCTGGTTCCAGATTGACACTTTGGACTGGCGCCACGGGCTGAACTATTTCCTGAGTTGGGAATTGAGTGTTCACCCAACTTCTTGTCCTGTCTTCCTCCGTTTGGTTCTCCTGAACGGCCATTGCCAATTTCGATCTGCTACGACGAAGTTCGCAAATTTCAGAGGCGTCTTCCAGATATTCAGCCTCTTCGATAGTTGCTTCAGCTAGCTTTTGACGGCTTTCCTCTACAACCACATCAAGATCAAGTTGACCCTTCATCGACTGAATCTGGATCTCTTGCTTTTTCAAACGAAGCTTAGCCTCTACTTGGCGTTCAACTTCCTCGCGTCTAATTTTTGCAAGGGCTGCTTCTCTTCGACGCTCACTCGAAGTCATTGATGCAATTTTAGAACGCTGTGAAAGGGGTTTCTTGGAACGGACGGATTCGCTTGGCGTTGGGGTTCGTGCAGTTGCTACCTGGTCCTCTTGATGTTTAATTTGAAAGTAATTTTTAGCTAGACCTAATACATCGTCATGTTTTGCAGTGGTAGATCCTAGGTAAAGATCAAGTTGATTTATTGTTTCAGCAGCGTTGTTGCTGTGCATAGACAAAGATTTAAGCTCATCATTTTTCTCTATAATTTTTTGTAAGCAAATGCTAGATTTTTCTATGTACGTTTCAATTTTAGCTGGTCTATCATTCGCACTTATATATTCCGTAATTTTGGCATGGTAATCGAAAAGATTTGTTTCTAACTCTTTCCTGGCAAGATAAATTTTGTTTAGCTTCTGGCCGAGATCAAGCTCCATTTTGAAATATTTGTTTCTAAATAAGAGCAAAAAAAATAGTGTCGGTTAACGGAATCAAATTAGAGTCAATTCAAGTAGCCGCGTCCTATACCGAACGAGAGGATCCTCGCAAGACCCCTACAATTCTCGTTGCCTACGGAACAGAAGGACAACAAACTATAAGATTGAAAAAAAAGATGAATTTAACTAATCAAAAAATATCAAGGTTTATAATGCCTGACAAATGTTAAATATTCTTCGACTGTTGTCATTTGTGAAATACTTTGCTTATCTGCTTTTCTTTTCCTTGAACTTGGTCGACGACTTTTAACTTTATTGATAAGTTCGGACAGATTGGGGAAATAACGTCGAATGATTCTCAAATTTTTTATTTCTAAAAACGCCGGAGGATGAATTAATTTAAGCTTACGAAATAATTCTTTATTGCTAGCTTTTCTTTTTGATATTAAATGTTTGGTCACATTAATTGTTAATGCTCCTGTTTCAAACAAACGTCCGTAAATATAAGGGGTATTTTGACGGTGTAAGTAAATAATGGCTGATATTTTGTTTTTATATTCTTTTAAAATTTTAATCAGACTTTCTGGTGTAAGTGGGTTATCGTTGTTTGATCTATGCTTGCTCAATGAATTATTTATAACATCGTGCCATATTATAAAGTTTTTCTCTATCATACATTTTGGGGAATTGCTTAAAAGATATTGAACAGTCTTTTGCCGGTTATTTGCATTCAAATTAAAGCTTAAACCTGGAACTGCTTTAAAAGTGTCGTCGAGGCGTTTTTGTAGAGTTAATGATAATGTATTTACGGAGTGATGGAGAGAACTCGCAGCAATGATGAACACCATTGAGAGTGATACGCGATACGGATGTTTTATTGGCAATCAATTTAAGGAGTCTGTTGATGTAAAGTGGTCATATAGAAAAAAAAAATTATCACGATAATAACTTTCAGAACCCTTAGCTGAGGGTTTTGTAAGGTTTTCGAAGCAGTACTATTTAAGTTAACGTGTACGGTTTATCGGTTAAACTCAACGACTTTACGGCGAAACGGTAGCAGTAACGGTCGCGCCGGTATGCGGCCGAAAACGGGGCGAGCCGAGCAAATTTTTAAAGTTTATCCAACCACTGGAGGAAACCGAGGTAGGGATTCACTCAAAAAAATTGCTCGACACGATTGACGGTTAAAACGGTTGAACGGGCGAGACGAAAACGGTGTTTTTCGATTTTGCTCTAAATTCGGGCAAAAAAAAAATTTTTTTTGTCAGTGAAAGTTT